TAGAAAAAATCATCATTCGATAAATTTACAATTGGTTTGTTGTAATTAAATTACATAATCCTTATTTTTTTATGGTCTGCACATTGAATTTAATAATATAGACAGTTTACAGTGATAGGACTATTCCAAACACGATACACAGACTAACGGTATGTTCCTGCGCATGCAGCTGACTGACGATGACGTCACATGGGACATAGAATTATAAGCATTAAATGGGAGAGTGTTTAAAATTCGATATTTTGCCAATTTTAGATTTTATGCAGTTGCTCATTGGTTATTTTGTAATAAATTGGTTTACAAATATGAAGGTTTAAGGTAAATAATACTAATAAAAATATTAATTTTTCTCATAAATTATAGGTATTTTGTGACAAAATCCATAACCTTGCTATAAGTAAAAGATATAGACTAAAAATACAAATTTGACTAAAATTTGTGCTTTCTGTGCGTGGTAGTTCTCTTGCAATCTCTTTTCTTATTATGTGAAATGAAAATAAGTATGCAGAAACAAATTATTTATTTAAAAAAGTAAGTACACAGAAACATTACTTTTTATTTGGTAAATTTAAATATTTTTTGGCAAGTTTACTTTGAAAATACTCAAAACCAATTTTCCTGTTCATTTATTTTATTCTTATATATGTTTTTGTCCTGCTCGTGCATGGCATTACTTCAAAAGGACCGTTGTATTGGGACAGGAAACTACTGTTTTATCTGCTAAAATTTTTAAAAAAACACGGTTTGCACTCCGGGAGTGCCGGCAGAAGTGAAAACTTGAATATTAACGTTGTGCATTTTTGATTTTTTGGAATAGTTAGGGAATAATTTTGAACGAATTGCTTTTATTATCAATATAAAAGTACTATCATTTATGTGGTAGAATACAATATTTATTGCGCTATCATACACACACATTACAATTTATGTTACATTAAATTACATTGTATTACATTAAAAAGTTTATCTCTCAGAAAAATCAACTTACATCCATAATTTCGATGACTTTTTCACCATCATTATTACCAGAACCATCGCCAATCTCTAAAACTGATACGATAGGTTTATGATAGCTGAAGTAAGAAACAAACAGTTTTGATTCGAACCTATTTAAATGTCTAATAGAGAAAGCATCAATAGTAGTTTTGTACTTCGTTGTGCTAAGATTGCGATCATTTGACATAGCTAAACCAAATTCATTATTTAAAAATTCAATTAATAGTTGATTTTTATCGTCTGCAAAGTTTATGTTGAAATCTCCACTCAAAATCATTGGCAATTCATCAAAGCGTTTTCCAATTTTTTTTTGAAGCAATGCGGATGCGTCATGAGAATAAATAAATAAATTTTCGTACAAGAAGTCTTGTATAAAAAATTTTTTTAGAAACCAATTTTTTATAAAAATAGATTTTTAAAAAATCGATTTTTTCAATTAATCGAAACCCTTACAATGGATTAAAAATATCGACAATCGAAAGAAAACAATCGATTGTTCGAATAATCGATTATGATGTTACAACACTACTCTCCAACCGTCTTACGAATTTTCGATTAGCCCACGTGTTCTGACGCGAGTTTCACAGTTTGTACCAATCCCACAAAAGTGCTCAACGCCGCTAAAGAAGTTTTCACTTCAATAAAGATTTATTTTCTTTGCCTAATGAGGCCCGTATACCTGGTGGAATTTAGTTTCCTTTTCTTGCATCTATGTTTAAGCGGAATCTCACAACTACTTTCCTAAAAGTGGATAGGACAACTTCAATTAAGTTTGTCCTTTCTTTAATAAGAATTTACCCATATATTGTGGCATTCAGAATTATCTCCACCGCACAGCCCAGCATTTTAAACATGAATTTAGTTCTTCCCTGTTATATATAGGAAAATATAGTCACTACTAATACAAAAACGAATAAATTATTAAATTATTTTACACTATTCAATCGAAAAGTGTCAAAATAACTTGAAAGTTCGTCCCGCATTACGTCATGCGCGGTTTGGACGAATTTTGAATCGAAAGTCAGCATACCTTTAGTAAGTGTATCCTGATTCCAAAGATAGTATCTGAATACAAGGAAAGAAGGACCGCAGTGTTCTAGGCTAAATCTAACCCTACCTGCTTATAACCAACAAAGATAAAGATAAAAAGGTATTATAATGAATATACATCGAAAAATGTTCAACTTAAATTGGGCCACATAATTTAGTTTTTAAGTTTATTTTTCTGAATATGTATAGTAAGAAAATGGGAAAAATGGATATTTTTGGTAATAAATAAAAAAAAATTGTTTGTTTATATTCTTTATTTTCATTTTAGATCATTTATATGGGTAATGATTGATGTTCATCGTATAGAGCGCGTGGACTTTGTTCTAGGTAAATATACATAATTTAGAATTCACCATTGGATTCATACTTCAAGATGTGTAGTAACAATTTTTTATGGAACAGAATATAATAGACTACATAAAACATATTGATATAAGAGTTTATGCAACAATTGTAGATATGGACAATCCACTTGACTTGTGCAGTAAATTTTTAAACGAAAATTTACAAATTTTAAAAATTATTTTATAGTAAACATGGAAAAGAAAAGATTTAATTTAATTAGTCTTCAGTCCAGATTTCAACCTGGTCTTCCCGCAGGGCTGCCAAACGCCCTAGTCTCACCTGCATTGAGTCACTTACCAATGTAGTTTTAATACTCGTAATTACATTAGTTTCATATATTTTGATTAAAATTTAAGATTTATTTGTAAATTTGGACGAAATAAAAATAGATATGCTATTATTTATCGATTCTACACAAGAATAACTCGTTTTTACGTATATTTAATCTAAGACATCGGATGTACGCGTTTTATTTGGACATCGGTCTCCTTTTGACAGAGTAGGTGAGCTGTGTCCAGGCCGTTGGTGTTTATGCCGGTCGGCGTAGCTAGGTATGGATTGAAATTTTCTGGTGGCGGCGAAGCCGCCATCCTACGAGAGGTCGTTGCTTCGTCTTCTTGTTGTCACGGCATTATTATTATTATTATTATTATTTGTTTATGTATGTGAAATTTGCTTCTAAGGTTTATAAAATACTACAGAAAAATACTTAAGTCTTCCACTCCATCATCTGAAATAAAGTTAGGTTAGAATTATGATGTACAAATAATGGGAGATACATCCGATGTACAAATATTTCGTGTACATCCGATGTACTGCTAGTCACGGCGTTAACTAAAAAATATACTGACAGAATTGTCATTTGTATAAAATTTTAAAAAATAATAGTAGCCGGGTGACCAAAATATGAACTGAATTTAAATTTTTGTACACTCACATGGATATTAGCTTATCTACGCGCAGATTACAAAACGAAAAAGTATGCTATTGCCTTCAACTGAACGAATATATTTCATATCCATTCTAGGTAGAGAGATCACTGCAAAGAAATTAAATCCACCAATCAGGTGTTCAGATTTTGATCAACCGACTGATATTATTTTTAAAATTTTAAATAAGTCACAATTCTGTCAAACTAATTGTCAGTATATTTTTTAGATATTGAGATTAAACATACATTAAAATGAGTTATTGTTTTGTAGAATCGATAAATAATAGAATTTCTGTTTTTATTTCATTTTTATAAGTTATCTTGCAACAAACAAATACTTGACTATGACCAGATAGAATCTGCGCTTAGTTACAGGCATTCTGACTGGTCATTGCCAAGTAAGGAAGCATCTCCATATCATGGGGCTGTCAGAATCCGCACTCTGCAGAGGATGCGAACAAGAAGATGAGATCATCGAGCATATCCTTTACGATTGCTCGACGCTCTCATTTATTAGATTTGTGTTCGACAAGTATCAGCCAACACCGGCCGATATAAGAGAAGCACCTCTTGGCGACGTTGTCAACTACATTAAATCTGTAGGCTGGCTCACTTCGACATTCTATGTGTTGGTTTGTTCATTGGCTTGGTTCTATATAAAAAACAAAGCTTCGACACGAGCTGATTGGTCTATTCCCGATGACGTAAAGTTCATCAAATTTCTAGAGGCTTTCGACGGCTAGACAGAGAAAGCACTACTGACGGGCATCCCGACGGATTTACGCAATGAAAGTACACTCTGCGCATCAAGTATTTCACTATTTCATTCAGACGTAAATGTCAGATGTAAATTTCGCTAAAACATTTCTTTTATTTTCGTTTGTGTTTTTTGCTCATTACAGTTTAATAGAACCTAAGTATGGAGTTTAATAGCAAATTAAGAGGCCGCGTGATTAACAGTCAATCTCGCGAAATAATAGCCAATGTTATAGAGTTTATGAGAAGAGAAGGAAACTTTAATTCACCTTAAATACCATTTAAAAATGTAAATGATCGTGTTGCTGCAGCCACAGGAGTATCTAAAAACACTGTCGTCCGCATTTCTGGAGAGAAAAAAAGAATCGATAACCGTGAGATATCGGAATTTTCATCACCAAGAAAAACCATTAAAAAACCAAAAACAGTTAATGATATAGATGAAGCTGCACAAGAATCAAATTTAATTTTTTTGTTATTAGATAGCTATTTTTGTTTCTGAGTTGTGTTCATTTACAGGCTCAATTTTTTTTCGTTTCTCCTTTTTGATTTTATATGGGGTTTCAAGTTGTTTTTGACTTATTTCGACGTAAATCACAACAACACACTTTTTTAATAAAGCAAACAAGTGTTAAGAGGTATATGTACGTGTAAACTACAATTACAAAAAATTGATATGAAACCCATGAAACCACCAACAAAAATGTAAAGCTAGCTTCCGTACTAGAACATGGTGTCATTCGTCGAGATAATTTATCGTTTTGTTTAATAGATCAAGAAATGTAAATATTCCCCTGTTATTTTTTATAAAATTATAAGAGAAATAAATTTTTTTCTAAATAGTATAGTTTATTATTTTGTAGAAAAACAAAATTTCGAAAATTTTAGTAATGTTTCAGAAACAACCGTTATTAATAATAGGTACCATTTTCCTTAATAAGGTAGAAATAAAATATAAACTATTTCCACGATTTACAAAGGCCTACAAAAAAATTATAGGTATTTTCCGCTATCCTATAAAATTTATATTTTCTGACTCAATTTCAAAAGGTTGAAGGAATTCCAAAACACCTTTTATGGCATAATAATTATTTTCAATTCTACATACTATCTTTAGCTGCTTTTAAAAACGTTCTAAGAAAGTCCAATCAGACCATTTTAATCCCTAAACTATTCCACACTTTTAAAATTTAATTACCTAAAAATATTAAAAACTATTTAAAATAACTTGTTTAGCAGACTGTACAATAGCTATCTTAGTCACACGTAGCGCGTTCTCTGTCTGGGCATCGAACACCTCTAGAAATTTGATGAACTGTACTCATTTCAAACTTTAAATTATAAATGGTTTTACTTTAAAAACTTTTGCCTTTTTTAATAAACTGACTTGTATAGTGACTAAATATTACAATATAATTTATAAAACAGCATATCTCACATCTGATCATGGCCCATTAATAATTAATCGGGCATACGTTCAAAGTATGAATTAGTAATTATGAATTAATTTAGGATTGTTACCGCGAACGAAGCTATTTATGTCCTGGATAGGTTTCTATTAGAAGATTTACCTACTATTTAAGCTAAAGATATTCTTGTTATTGTTTGTTATTCGGAAATTCCAGAATCAGATTAATTTTTTGTTATAATTTTTAAGTATTAGTTTATATTAAAAAAGCATTTCAAGCAGTGATCTTCAATATTTGATGATAAAAAAAGATCAAAGAAACAATAAACTTTCGTGATTTCATGGTACACATTTTTACACACTTTCCAACACAAACTGGGACAGAAAAATACTTTGCGTGCAACAAATGGTCTTAAATTTTTCCTCAGGTCTCACTAATGTTTATAGAAACTTTTCCAATCGTTAAACATTACGAACATCGACTTTGTATTTTTCCCCTTTTGTCCAGAAAATAGGCGGAACGTCTCACGCAACAGATACAAAAAAATATGTAGACTTTATAGAAGTGTGGATCCCAGAAATGTATTTTTTGAAATAGCTCAACATAACATTAAATCACCATAAAAGATGGCTTCTGACAGGGTTATCTTCTTGTTTCACGGACATCAAAATGAAACTAATTTATAGCAGTAAAATTTTTAATTAAAATTCAACGTTCCTGCGTGTTATCTACGTACATCGCTAAATACGCGTCTATCGCCCGCGACTGCCATCAGTGCCCGAAATCCGACAAAGGCGCACAGAAACGAAAATGAGCTGACAAGAAATTGATTGGCGGCGGTTTTTGCCGCTACGCTGCCGGCGTTGCAGTAATTGTGCTCGTCGCAACAGGTTATACACGAGTGTAATTTAGTCCGTTCGCCTATCACGATACACCCTGGTTCGCAACTTTCCGAACAGTTTCTCTGCAACAACCAGAGTTTCGGTTTTCCTGTTACTTCATCGGTGCTGGTCGACATCGAGATTCTTCTGACCTGAAACAATTTATATTTTTAAAAAATATGTACAATGTGGCTGTTTAATTTACATTTTTTTTAATAGATAAAACAATAAAGTACACCCCAAAAAGACAGAAATAGTCCTTGTCACAAGGAAAAGTTTAAAATAGAATTGAAACCTCCAGAGCCCCTAAACACAAAACTAAACTTTTCATCAGAGGTGAAGTACATAGGGCCCACCTTTGACAGCAAGTTGAATGGAACGCACACTTATAAAACAAATACAAAAGAGCATACATTGTTTACCAGCAATACCACCAAACCATGGGGTGCAACTGGGGTTTCTCCTTAGAGTCGTCACATGGACATACACGTCCATGTGCAGTCCATGTGCACGGTGCAGTTGTTTGGGCACCGAAAACCCAAATTTACAGCTATCGGCAAACTAGAAGAGATTCAACGAACAGCATGTCTCAACACAACAGGAGCTCTGAAAACCACACCAATCAGAGCCATAGAAGTCATTCTTAGTCTTACTGCCCTTGATATTTACATCAAGGAGGTTGCTCTGATGACAATAACACGCCTCCGCACGGTTGGAATAGAACCTGATGTAGAATCTGGTGAGGCGACGTCGCTTTTCGGAGGAGACCCCCTGCTTTAAGCAAACAGAACAAATAGAAGAGCCGGTAGCATTATGTACGATTTATATCTACACCGACGATTCTAAAACAAAACAAGGCTCAAAATGTGGAATATACTCCAGATCCTTAAACCTCAAATATAAAATGGGTTGTGAGCAATAATGCCAGTTTAGTTCAAGTCGTGCTAACAGCGAGTCTCATAGCAGCAAAAGAAATCGCCAGAGACAATATCACTGGAAGGAACATGCTCATCTATACAGATAGCAGAGAAGCACTACACTCCCTGAACAGACCACGAATTTACTTAGGGTTAGTACTAAAATGTCACGAAGCTTTGGTCAAAGTATCCGAAGTATCAAAAATGTGGTCACGGCACATCAAGAGATAATCGTCTTGCTGATTCACTAGCCAAGAAGGCAGCCAACCAAATTCTTTTTGGTTCCGGCATTTCTATTGGACTGATAACATCGGTAGTAGCAGACCTTGTGAATTTCAAGGAAAGATGGGATGAAACAAGGAATTGCAGAGTTTCCAGGGAGCTTTTAAGTTTTCCTGACAACGCTACACCAAAAAAATACTTGACTATGAGAGAATCTAAGCCTAATCAATGGTAAATCATCCCCATATTATGGGGTTGTCAGAATCCGCATTCGGCAGAGGGTGTGAAAAAGAAGATGAAACCATCAAGTATACGATTGCTCGACGCTGTCATTTATTAGAATATTTATGTTCGGTGAATATCGGCTAACACTGGCCAGTATAAGAGAAGCCCTCTTGGCGACTTTGTCAACTACATTTAATCTGTGGGCTGGCTCACGAGCTAGGAGGTACTTATTATCTTAAAAGGATGCACAATGGGCCTGGTGAGGACTAAGTGCCGTGGGATAACCCATCCTACATACGTTACATATACAGAGATAATAAAGTACACAGGATGTTCTACGAATACCTAGTACGAGTTATAAACGGTACATTTTCTATATCAGTTTCTTATATTAACCCTGCTACTGCACACTGGGGTCTAGAAAACCCACGTGCACTTTATATTCTACCTTGTGCGCAGTGTTTCGATTGTGACCTTGGGCCAGTATCATGTAAATTCAGTTAACAGTTGTATGGTGGGTGAGGTTTTCCGGGTTTTCCTCACCTGTAAGTCAAATGGCACCATCAATCATCTTTAAGTCGCCCCGGAACGCCACGGCAAATAATAATAATAACCGTCCCTTTCCCCGCACAAGCTTAGCTTTTGAGGTTAAAATTCACTCGTAAGGGGGTGAATTAGGGAGAGTATTATTATTATTATTATTATTATTATACGAGTGAGGCAGAACGCAAAACATTTTATCGCTCATAGGTAAATGGTAAAATTTGATTTTAGCTGCTCCTGGGTTACTGAAACCCCAGTGTGCAGGATTAAGTTACATATTTTCTATTAGAAATTTTATTTTCTATTATTTTGTAGGAAGATGTCGAGGGGTAAAAGGAACGATAATCGTCCGGTAACAGATAAGGAACTGCAGGAGATTGTAGTTAATCTTGGGAACAGTCTAGATCATAAAAATGGATATGAAATTGGAGAATTTTCGGATAGCGAAAACGATTATGAGACGGAGAAGGATGAGGAAGACGACGAACAAAGTGCTTGTGAAAGTAAACAGGGTGATGAAAACAAACAGAACAGTGACAATGAAAATTAAAAACGCAGTGAAAAGGAAAGTAAAAAAGCTGGTGAGAATAACAGTAAACAAGCTAGTGGAAATAACAGTGAACAAAACAATGCTCATGAGAGTAAACAAAGCAATGAGCAAGAGAGGCCTTCAAGAGCGACGAGAAATAAAAGCGTTCTAAGAGGTAAAAATAACCACCTGTGGTCATCTGTAGTTCCTCAGACGAGAGGTCGTTTGAGAGCTGACAACATTGTTTTACATTTTCCCGGCCCTAAAGGTGATGCTAGAAAAGTAGAAACCCCTTTAGAAGTTTGTAATTTGATTATCAGTTAAGATATAATTGAAACAATTACCATACGCACCAAAACCACAAATGTTATTGGTGTAAGAACTTTCATTGGTCTTCTCTATATAGCAGGAGCTTTTGTTACGGTTTTAATTTAAATAGGAGAAAATAAATATACAAATCGATTAAATGATATAGATTTTCACAAGTTATATAAAGTTGGATGAAACTTACCATTTTGAAAATAAAACAGATTTAGAAGTTGATAATTTAATAGTTGAAAGTTTGGTTAACCTACAGAAAATGTAAACATTTCATTCTGACAATCATCTGTCAACCTTGACCTTTCTTCTTCTAGTGTAACTAGGACCTATTTCATTTCTTAAATGATCTATGGCAAGGTTATAATTTATTATTTGAACAAATGCAATTTTCCCCTAAAATTTCCATAGTTGGCTATATTGGTCGGCCATTAAATCAAGGAACTTCCTTCCTTTCTGACTTTTTTTTTGATGGCATGAATTTGTTGGTCCATGTGGTACCTGTTCAAATTTAACGAATTTTATTCGGAATTAAAGCCATATATTAGAGAATTACTTACAACTATCACTAGGAAACTACATTGTCTAATCGACAGCACTTTTGTGAATAAAGTAGTACCTAGCACGGCCCTACCTTATATTCGGTAAGTCCATATTTAGCTATACCTTTTGCTTCATTTGTATTACTTATATTGCATTTCCTTTTAGGCCTTTTAGTATTAGGTTTAGACCTATAAAGTGCTTGCATTAGCTAAATTAGAACCTTTAATTATTAACGCTGACCGCTTACCTGCTTTTGCTCTGGACTTCAGTCTTACTGCCTGTCTCCATTAAAAGCTACTTGCTGGATACTTGCTGCATGCTTATTAGCTCCTAGGCATATGTATTTATGGATGCTACATCCAGACTGCTGTCTACTGGTGTACCTAAAGCGAGACCACCCCATACAACTTGGATCTGCTAGAGACAAGTAAGAACTTTCCTTATTCTTCTAAGGCTGATAAGCTGAGCTGGAACCTCAGCCTATTATCCCCTGCCTGGACAATATCTTTACCTTGTGTAGTGACCAAATACCTTAAAGAAAAGACATTAATAGTAAATATTACCTCTAGTAATGGTAAACGAATATCTGTAGATATATTACCCTCAGTAATAGTATCTACCTGTAATTTCATATACTTACATTCACTTCACTGTAAACAATTAGTACTAATTGGACGTTGCAGGGCAACTTGATAGGTTTAGCCCCTGTTTTTGTTATTATTGCTCAAATTACCAACTGGAAACTAACCTGCACTGATCATCCTGGACTGAAATTAAATTATATGGGTAACACAAGTATAGTTTAAATCATATAACCCTCACCCACTCTCCGGTAGTTCATAAAACTACTTGAGCTATTATTTGTCTTCATTGTTTAAGCAAAGGGGTAATTTCATCAGTAACAAGCACCCCCCCCAGATAAAGGGGAGGTAGCAAAAGTGGCGCTCAACGTGTTATTGTGAAGATACTATTAATATGATAGTCTAAATATACTTGAAGTTTCAAATTAATTTTCAAAATAATAAAATTTGATGACTTATTTTACAGAGATTGTTTATATTCCAATATAATCTAAGTTCAGTTCAGTGTTCTTTGTAGAGTTTGATTGCTATTTTACATGTAGACAGTTTGAAAATCTACTAAAAATCTTCATAAAGTATGAAATTGTGATTCACTTTTGAAAACAACCTGTTGGAACCAGGTGTTTGTTTACTTTAAATACGGATATTTGTTAGTAATAATTAAACAGCACAAGTTAGTTACATTTTGGAGTGATATTCCTTGTTTCTGAGGTATTTTAATTTCTTCTTTTGTCTGGTAAATTGGCTAAAACGCATATATTTTTTTCTTGTTTTGACTTTGAACTTCGATCTTTCTTTGGTTAAATTTTATATTGTCATCTGTCAATTGTCAAAAAGTCGAACTATTGCACAGAATCAAAAATTATTACAGTCATTGGATGGCCTTGTGCTTATCTGAAGGTTAGCTAAAGTTATGGTCTCTTACTATTGGTGTTAAGAGCAATTAAATAAAAATTAGTGGATATTATTTTATTTTCAAAGTTGTTTTGTGTTCAAAGCAACTAAGGTAACGCATTTATAAATTTATTTTCGTTGGTTTTAGTATTTAAGGCATTAACGATATTTACACTCTGATAATAAAATTCTTTAATTTTTTTTTTCGTTTTCAAAGAAAATAATATTGGGATATCGATACTTTAAAGAAATTGAGTATAGTTTTTATTTGTAGGTTGTAGTTTACGCATTATTTTTTATTTTCAAGGGTTTTTGCGTTTACGGTATTAGGATTTTAAGATATTGCTATATATAAAAGAAATACTAAAATTCTTTTTTCT